ATGGCTTCTTTAGCTAGCCAGTAAACAGATTTGATTGCAACAACCACTGCATCTTGTTTTTGTATCAAAGCATTCGACACCACCGTTTGCATATCAGAACGCATCGTGATGTCCCGCAAGGCTTCCCGGTGTTTGGCGCTGGCAGCATGTCGCATTAGAGTCGATGTCTTGTAATTACTGCATCCTCTATCGCTTGAGAATGGCGTAGTTTTGCCAGTTTCTCTGCAGATTCGACAGCCCATTCCAAACTCGTCATGTGGTTTTTCCAACCATGAATATAACGCCAACCAGTTATCTTTCCAAACATCAATTTTCTTTTTTTTGGCTGCCGTGGTGTCACCGCCATCACATTTCGTGCTGCCCAAGCTCGGATCGGGATCGGTTGATGTGCTTGGCAAATCCTGAATGGCATCTTCGGGTTCAGACGAAGTGCTTGGCAAATTCTGAATGACATCATTTCTGTTAGTACTGTAAGCAGTGGCTGCACTCTCAGAATTGATTTTTGGCTCGCCTTTTTGGCCGAAAAAACTTGTAATCAAATTACGCGACCGCTTCATTTTGGCTGCTATAATTAACGCAAGACTGACACGCTTTAGTCGCGTGCACCACTCATTAATTCATTGTTTTGGCTGTTACATACGCGTAAGTTGGGGGGGGGTGTTAACTAGTTCGCCATAGTAAAAATATTATTTTTTCAAGACCGCTAATAGATTACAAATGGGAATATTTTTTGGTATTGTGTGTGAATTAATGGTATCTTTTTTTAGTCGATTCATTAAATAGTGATTTGTTTTTTTAGGGGTGAAAACAGACAGTCATTTGTTATGATGTGATCTAGCATGGGTAGGTTCAGCGAGAACTTCACACGTACAACACTTTCGTTCCATACAGCTTTGTATAAATTACGCAAATCAGCCAAAAAATAACACCGTTACCCAGTTACGCCAAAGATGGAAATTCCAAAAAACTGGGTACACACTCGTTTCCCCACCAAGAAAAACATAATGTAAGCTCATTGTTTAATTAATTTAGTTGCAATCGGAAATTCTAAACTACGCACTACAGAGCTGTGCCGATCTGACGGGCTTGACAGCGTGTCAAGCAGTTATCCAATTAAAAACGTGAATTCACGCATCAGGTCACTTGTTGCTTCCATATGGTAGCGATGAACTTTCAAACTTTCAACAACATGGCGCCTTAGTCTTTCGTGCTGGGATGCTATCTGCGTTGACTGAGCAAGTGTTACGATCTGCATGCATTGTTTTAAAGCACTTTTCTTGCCATATGCCTGTAGTTACGTTTATTTCTTGAGTAAACATGATTAAAGTTGATCTTCAATCGAAATCATCGCTGGCACGATGAGTTTCCTGTTGGTATCACCGGAAATGTCAACCGTGAAACAACGGTGCATCATGAGCTCCATGGGTGAATCGAAAACCCGACGTAATTTATTAAACGTGACGCATACATCAAGTGGTGTTTTGTTACATATAACTCTGCAAATTCATATAATAATAAATATTTTTAAATGATTTGGACGCGCGAGATAATTAATTAAATCACGCAACAAGCGGGAAGGACAATTTATTGTTGCCTCGCCAAGTTGCTTAACGCGTCGCCCTGTCACACACGCACTCCAGAAACTCAATGCGGGCTATTCCAACTTACGTAGGCATACCCGAAGAAGGTTACAATGTAATGTTTTTAAATATAAGGACGCACAATTTTAAACGAAATATGCGGGAGGATGATTGTTATTTG